TTTAAAAAAAAAAAAAATACCAGGAACACAGCTGAACTTAGTTTACACCTGCCGCTTACTCTGCTATTTTTAGTGGATGTGTGATTGTGTATGTATGCTAACTCTAGCACGTTATACATGCTATACAGAAAGTCTGTCCCCCCGACAAATATCTTGGAAATTGTTTTCGGTCAGTAAATCTGCAGCTGCCTAATTCCAGCTGCTTACAGTCTCATTCTAGGGATGTGACTTAATCTGTTTAGCCAGTTCTTAATGATAGACATTTAAGTTTCTGATATTTTTCCATTATAATGATACAATGAATATTCATGTGTACTTATTTTAAACATATGCAAATATAACCAAATTCCTAGAAATAAATTCTTTGAAATTGCCGGATCAAATAGATTGTGCATTTGTAGTTTTAATATGCAGTATGCTAAATACTTTCCATACTGCTTATTTCTGATACCCTCAACAACAAAGTGAGTTATCAGGATTTTTGATGATGACTTATCTGAAAGGAGAAGAATGGTATCTTATTGTAGTTTTATGTATGATTGAGCCATTTGCATGTCTCTAAAATTCACTTTTACCTTTTTTTTTCCATTTTTCTTGCATTAGTGATCTTAATCAGGTTTTTGTTTGGTGCAAATTCCTTATATTTCTCAGTATGCTGTTTGTCTTCAGCTTGACTTCTGGTGTTATTACTATAAAGTTTTCTTTAGTCAAATTTATCAGGGTTTTTCATGTTGTACCTTATAGAAGTTCTTCCTTACTCTATGGTTATTTTATAATTTCTTCCAATTTTTTTCCAGCACTGGCATATTTTTTATTTGATGCTTTCAAACATGGATCAAACTTTTACCTCCCCCCACTTATCCCAGGACTGTGCATTGAAAATTTAAAATTTCCTCATTGATATGCAATACCATTAAGTATTTATGTGTGGGTCTTATCTAACCAGCTAGGTCATACACTTTTTAAAGGCAGTAATTGGGTTTTATCCAGTCTTATATCCCCATAAAGCTGAGCATAATATTCTGCAAAAAGTAGGTAGAAATTAGCCATGCATGGTAGTGTGTACCTATAATCCCAGCAGTCTGGAAGGTTGAAGCACAGTCTGGAAGGTTGAAGCAGGAGGACTGCAGACCTGAGCCCTGCTTGGGCAGTTTGGCAATTTATCAAGACCTATCTCAGAAAAAGGACTAGGGATGTAGCTCAATTTGAAGGCCTATTCCTCAGTACTAAAAAACAAAATTTCTTACATTTAAAAAATCTTGACTTTTATACATGACAGTACATAGACATTTATGTACAGTTCAATGAAAATTTATAAAATGAACACATGCATAGCAACCTAGATCAGGCAAACCTTTCAGAGCTTTCAGTGATAACAAACAGCCAGCTGCATGCATGCTGTAGGTTCACCACCATGGACCTAGGTGGAGAAATAGACCACCTCTAACTCTCCAGGGTTCTCTGTATTCCCTTCATGTCACATTCCTTTCCTGTCCCTTGGAGGCCATCATGCTGTTAACTTTCGTGATACTGATTACTCAGCCTTTTTTTGTATTAAGGTTGAACCATATGAAATTGCCATTTTTACAAGAAACAATCATTGAATATCAGCAAGTTCATATTTCAGCCTCGTAATTTTACTACTGTGAATCTCTAAACAGTACAGGCTAGCTGAGCCACTTTGACCATTTTTTTAATTGACTCATTGCATTTTTTGTACTATGCTGTGGATCTTTGACTCACTGTGTTGTAGAAGTCAGCCATGGGGATACAAGTTGTTGATTCTCATTGCTAGATATATTTATTCCATTGTGTGACTACTGTGTTTTATTTATCTATTCCACTGTTGCTGGATTATGCCAAGATGCAGGTCCCAGGGAACCTTTCTTTTTTTTTTTTTTTTTGGTACCGGTGCTGCTGAGCTATTTCCCGGCCGTGTTGCTGGATTATGGATTGTGTCTTAGTTTGCGCTGCTGTAACAAAAATAGCATATGCTGGATGTATTTCCCACAATTCTGAAGGCTGAGAATTCCAAAGTCCAAGTGCCGGCGGATCCAGTATCTGGTTAGAGCCTCTTTCTGACAGCCGTCTCCTCTCTCAGTCCTTGCTTGGCCTGGGGTTGAGGTAAGGGTGCACTCACCCTGTGTCTCTACTTGTAAAGGGCATTAATTTTATTCACAGAACCTACACTGTTTGGACCTGACTCTCAAAACCTCACCTTCTATTACTATCAGTCACACTGGGGGTTAGACTTCAGTGTGTGAGTTTGGGAGGGCATGGTATTCTACCCAGAGTAGGTTGTTTCCAATTTTGACTATAAATTGCAAACAGTGTAACTGTGAAAACCCTTTTATATGTGTTTTGATGTGTGTGATCAGAATTTCTTATAGTATAAGATCGCAAATTATGATTTATTCCCTGGTATAGTTTTTAGAAAACTTTTAGCTAGACGTGGTGCCATATCCCTATAATCTCTAGCAGGCTGAGGCAGGAGGATTGTCATGAATTTGAGGCCAGCTTGAACTATATGGTGAGACCCTGTCATGAAAAACAACAGTTTTTATTTTGAAATAATTTTGTTTACAGGAGAGTTGCAAAGTTGGTTCAGAGTATTTCTGTATACCCTTATTTTCCCTAATATATATGCCTTACGTAGTAACAGTATATTTAAAACAGAAATTAATGTTGGTACAATGCTCTTAATGACAGATTTTAAAATTTTCAACAGATTTTTAAATTTTTAACAGATTTTTCCACTATTATTCTTTTTGTGTTCTAGGAATGAGTGTAGTATACAATGTTGCATTTAGTTGTCACATTTCCTTAGACATGAAACGGGCTGGGGATTTAGCTCAGCGGCAAAGCACCCACCTGGCAAGCACAAGGTTGTGAGTTCAGTTCCCAGTACCGGAGAAAGACCAAAAAAAAAAAGACAAAAAAAAAAAAAAAGCCATGAAACAAACTTATCAACTGAAGTATGTATACTAATATGTATATAGTTGTTCTTGCTTTTAGCCTTGTAGTATCTGAATTTTTTTTTTTTTTTTTGGTGGGGGGACCGGAAATTGAACTCACGACCTTGTGCTTGCCAGGCAGGTGCTGTGCCGCTGAGCTACATTCGCAGCCCTAGCCTTATAGTGTCTGATCAGAACACTTTATTATGTAGCCTTGGGAGTCTTATTTCCTTCACTTAGAAAAATTCATTTAAAACTCACTCATGGGGCTGAGCATGGTGGCACAGGCGTGAAACCTCAGCACTCTGGGGGGCTGAGATAGGAAGAATGCAAATTCGGACAACTTGGTGACTTAGCAAGACTCTGTCTCAGAGGAGTGGGGAGTGTTGGGGATGTCGCTCAGTGCAAAGGCCCTGGCTTCAGTCCTCAGTATGCCACCCCCAAAAAATTCCGGATATAGTATATGCTTATTATCTCTGGGAGGCTGAGGCAGGAGTCACAACTTTGGACCCCACTTCTTAGAAACTTAGTGACTTAGCAAGACCAGGGTCTCATAAATAAAAATAAAGGCTGGGGATGTAGCTCAGTGTGAAGATCCCGGGTTCCATCTATGGTACCCACCCCCACAAACCTCATTCATGTTTTTACATGAATCAATACTATGTTCATTTTTTTAAATTGAGGTGAGCTTCACATGCCATGAAATTAACCATTTTAAAGTGAGCACTTCAGCAGCACAGAATATTTTCATGATGTTGTGTGAGTACCATTTACCAAGTTCTAGAACATTTCCATTACTCCAAAATTCAATCCACTGGTTAAGCAGTCACACTCGATCTTCCTTCTGCAGCCACCATCTGCTTTTTGGTTTCATATGTTTATCTCTTCTGGATATTTTAGGTCAGTGGATCTTCTTGTATTTCCCTGATTTCGTTTAACTTAATATTTCAAGGCTCGCTCATGTTATAGCATGAGTAAGTACTATCTTATGCTAAGATAGATAAAATATAACATTAGCCACTTTAAAAATATTTGTGTGGATACAACTTAATGGCACTCAGGCAACTGCCATTATGGTCATACATTAATGGCAACTGTCACCACTATTTCCAAAACTTTGTCATCACCCTAAACAGAAATTCTGTGCCCATTGAGCAATAACTCTGTGTGCCTCATTTCAGTCTGATAACCTCTAATCTGCTTTTTGTCTCTATGAATTTTCCTCTCCTAGATACTTTGTGTAAGTGGAAGCAAATAGTATTTGTCCTTTTGTGTGTGGGTTTGTTTTTTGTTTTGTTTTGAGACAGGGTCTCACTATGTTGTTCAGGCTGATCCTGAACTCACTATGTATGTAGCCCAGGCTGGCTTTGAACTCACAGCAATCCTCCTGCCCCCACTTCTGAGTGCCGGGATTACAATCGTGTGCCATCACGCCTGGCTGTCATTTTGCATTTGATGTATTTTACTTAGTATAATGTTTTCCAGGTTCATCCATATAATAGCGTTTATGAAAACTTCCCTTCCTTTTTAAGGGTGAATAATATTCCATTGTATGAATATACTGCATTTAACGTTTCCATCCATCTGTTGATGCACACTTGCTTTGTTTATGACTCTTGGTTGTAGATGATACTGCTGTGAGCATTGACACTGAGTCCCTTTCGTAGCTTCCTTGGAGTAGCTTGCTAACCCTGATCTAGAGTGGGTGTATAGAAGTAGACTTGCTGGGTCATACATGTGCAGCTGTTTAGCTTTACTGGGTAACTGGTGAGATGAATTGCCAAATAGTTAGACCACAGTCTTGACAACAATTGGTATTTTCAGATTTCTAAATTTTTGTTCATTTGGTGGCGATGTGTAATGATATTTTATTGCAATTTTACTGTATTTCCTGCTTTCTGAAGGAATAGAACATGTTTCAAATAATTATGAGCCATTTGAGTTTCCTGCTTTGTAACATCTAATATTCCTACTTGTTTTTTGCTGTTAAATGAATGTTGACTAATTGATATCTTCAGATAACACTTACTGTTGTTGTTTCTGCAGAGCAAATAGTGGAGAAAGATGAAGGTCCATACTATACTCATCTAGGATCTGGCCCCACAGTAGCTTCTATCCGGGAACTCATGGAGGAGCGGTGAGTGTTACACAGATATTGAAGGGGAAATGGTGGGTTATGGGCATATGGACTTAAAGGCCCTCTCATTTTCATTGCCTTGTATGCAAAAAGGCAGTCTTGGTGTCCACACTGTACAGTCTACTTGTGTGTGTCAGCCCTCCATAAGCTCCCTTCTCTTCTTCCTGAAGCATTCTTAGAACATGGCTGTGTGGTTGCGTGTCCTGCAGTGTTAGCTTCCCACAATCCGAGTCTTGCCTATAGCTTTCTCATGGTGTTACTTAGCATGCTCTTCTGCCCTCTGTAAGTCCCGTAAACTGGTAGAGCTAGAGGTCTGATTGTAATCAGGTTGTTTTTGTTTCTCCTCCCTCCCTCCCCCAGAAATACTTCATAGGTGCTATCATGTCTTGGTTTCTAGTATGTCAAGATGTTCTAGGCTCATGTACATTTGTCCAAGAAGTCTTGATTCCTTTTATTGTTGGAAAAAGTATTTAGGAAACAGACTCTGAGTACTAAGGGCACTCGTTGCTACAGTGAGTTATTTCTGGTTTTTAGGCCATTTCAGTAGAAAGATCTAAGTCGTATCTGGTACAACTTTAATTTTTGTGTAGTTTTAATTTTTGTTATTTTTAGTGGTTAAATGCATCACAAGTTTATATGGACATTCAGATTCAAAACTGTAGAGTTTTTACTTAATAGTTCTCTTTTGTAAAGCTGTTTTTATAGATTAGAGCCTAAAATCTATGTGCATGTCCACAGCAGGTCGTAAATACTCGTGAGTTTTGGTCTATACAGGGGTAACAAGCTTGGTGGGTGAGAATGTGGATGCTAGAGATAGATTGGGGTCTAGTGCTGGCCCTGCCACTTACTGCTGAGCCTTTAGGTAATTGGTATATTCCTCTGTGACTCAGCTTTCTTATCTACAAAATAGAGATAATGACAAAAGTACACACATTGTGGAAGTATTGTGAGGATAAACTGCAGAAGTACACTGTGGGAGAGTCCTAGGGTAACTGAACTGATACGTAAAGCATACTTAGTATTTGTTACAAAGACTGTGTAAGGGGTGGGCAATCTTTACCTCATATACTTAATACACTGATTGCGTTTGTTCTATAATAAGCAGTAACATTTTAAATAAAGGCAGTTGTGATATAGGCATAAACACTTATCCATGTATATTTAATGTGTGGAAGACTGAATTTTTACAAAATCGGGAACCAGATTTTGTCTCACCAGAGGAGCCAAGCTAGTCCTGTCAGTATAGAATGGAACATGATTTTGAACTGAATGCCTGAGAGGTACAGTGGATGGAGATAACTGATCTGCCATACTCATTCTTAATTTCTAGTACCATCTGAAAACATTTATATTCAAAGTAGCCCATCATAAAAGTATCTGGCTAGAGGCCCATTCTGTAAATTTAGTCTTGATGTAAGGGACACTTCTGATCCCATAAGAACAAAGCCGGTTTAAAGTGTATGTGTTGTACATGTTTGCTGCATGTGGCCACACGTGTGTGCTGTACTTTCCAGATTGGACCAGGCAGCATTTGGCCAGTAATTTTTATAAGGAGAGTCAACATGATTGTTTGCTGCAGGGGAGTCAGATGTTTCAGTTTGATCTGGGATCAGTGTTTATTTTTTGCTTTTGCTTCTGGGAGAGTTTGGGGGTAATTTATGAGATTGATAGACATCTCTAAAAATCTTTTAATTATGGAACAGTACATTTTGAAACAAGGATTAAGAGATAATGATAAAGTAGAGATCTGTGGAGGTTTTTTTTCTCATTGCTTTAAAAATTGTAACAGCCATTGTATCTTTGGGATTTTTTTTTTTTTTGGTTTTGGTTTTTTTCTGGTACCGGGAATCAAACTCACGACGTTGTCCTTGCCAGGCAGGTGCTGTGCCGCTGAGCTAAATCCCCAGCGCCCCCTTTGGGATTTTATTAATTCCTCAGTTACTGCTTAATTTTTTAAAAAAATTTTTGACGAACTTTGCATGTTTATATCTGGTAATCTGAACAACTACTTTGAGCACAACAATGTACAACCGTTGTTGAATTCCTGTCATACTGGTTTTTTGAAATTCTGTATTGTTTCTAATGTTTTTTTAAAAAATTATAACAGCCAACTGTAAATTTTTTAAAAATTGGTCCAAGGGAGGAATTCCTGTCAAGACCAGGAATATTTGTGTTTTTCCCCAGCAACTGGTTTATTTTTATCTTAAAGACATTGTAAATCATAAACAGATTGCATTTCCTCCTTCATTTTGGTTGCTAATAACTTTAGAGCCAGAGTTTGTCCCCCACACCAAGAATGTGATGTCTAACTTTAGGCCATGGGAGCCTTTTCAGGTCACTCATGAGTACTTCTGACAAGGAGGCTTTAATGTTTTTGATTTCTTATATGAAAAGATACACCAGGCTCATCTCTCAAAAGCACGTACAGTCTAGGCATGGCAGTGCACACCTGTACTCTCAGCACTCTGGGAGGCCAGAGCAGGAGGACTGTAAGTTTGAGTTCATCCTGGGCAACTTAGTGACCCAGCAAGACACTGCCTGGAAATAAGAAGGGCTGGAAGTGTAGCTCAGTGCGAAGCCTGGGTCCAGTCCCGAGTCTCTGTCTCTGTCTGTCTTTATCTGTCACACACACAGTCATATTCTCTTCACCAACAAATCCGTCTTTTTCTCCTTTTTCTCTGATTTCTTCACTTGTTCTTTTTATTTTATAAACCTCCTAAGATCCTTTCTGGGTCCAGGAGGGGAGTGTGTGAATGAGAAAACTCCCCTGTCTGGGGGCTTAGTCTGAATGGGCCTAGCTGTCTCTTTCTGTAGACCATTCCCTCTACTCTCTCTGCGAGACTGCCCTACTGTCAGGAGTCGGCCAAAATCAGGGAGAGGAAATAAATTGAAATCAAGGAGACATTGGTGCTTATAACTTCTCTGGTACAGATTTGGAGAAAGGCAGGGGAGGATGAAAGCAAATCCTAAAATATCCCCATTTATTTATGGGCTTCATACCTCTTGGGTACCCACGTTGTCCTCAATTGTCATAGATAATTGGAATCACTTGTCAAGTTCCTATCTGAGAATGGTGGGGTGCCTAGAGTTTGTGACTGGGTAGGGGATTCTCTGCAGCCTAGGAGTTCATTAAATACTTGTTCTAGAAACAAAGAACCAACGCTGTGCTAGCAAGTCCTCTGAGCTTTGGGGCACCTGACCTCTTTCTGTAGTGGAGCTAACTCTGATGAAGCACAGTTTGAAGCAGAGTGTAGTGGCACATGCCTGTAATTCTAGGAGGCTGAGGCAGGAATATCCAAAGCTTGAGGCCAGCCTGGGCAACTTAGCAAGACCTGTCTCAAGACAAACAACAAAAAGTAAAAGGGGCAGGTACTGGGAACATAACTCAATGTAAAGGCTCTGGGTTCAATCCCCAGTACTGTGGCAGAGTGGGGGAACCACAGCTTTAGAGCAGTAGTTCTTAATCTTGGACAGGTGTCAGAAGCCCCTGGGGGCTGTGAAAGCACAGATCACTGGGTCCCACCTAGCTGATCCAGTGAGTTTGGGATGCGACCCAGGAGCCAAGCTCTCATGCCTCGTTCCGAGGTGAGCCAATGCTGTTGGTCCTGTGATTATGCTAGAAGAGCTCCTGGTTGATTATCAGTTAACTTTTGCAGGGGTGGGGGCGGTTACTGGAAATTAAACACAGTAGCTTCGCACTGAACCGCATCCCCAGCTCTTTGGGGGTTTTTTTGGTTTTTGATTTTTGGGTGGTTTGTTTTTTTGAGACAGAGCCTCATAAGTTTCCCAGGCTGAGCTCAAGCTGTCAACACTCCTGCCTGAGCCTCCTAGAATGTTGGGATTACAGAAGTGGATCACTATGCCCAGCTTTAGAGAAAGGTTTCAGCCTATCCTTGCAGACTTAGTTTAGGGCCTCAGAGTTTATATACAAGAAGAGCCTTTTCGTGATAAGCTAGACATTAAAACGTTTAGGAAGAAAAATAGTTGATTGGTTGTCTTTAAACACAGACAGTTCTGTTTAAAAGAAAAAAGTCTTAGCAGATCAGGCAGTGCCTGGCCCTTTTATTTAAATGCTCTCTAATGTGAAGCTCACTGCAGGACATGTTTCTCCCAAGGACAGAATGGTGGGGAAGGAGCTGGTGGGAAAGCCGGCATCCGTGTCCTCAGCTCACCTTCCTGTGCGGAACTTGATAGTCCCGTCTCGGTGAAGGTCGTGTGGTCACCTCGGGCTGCCCTACCGACAGGCTTGCCAGGCCTGTGCTTGTGGGTGACTGCCTGATAAATGTTTATTGAACTGAGTTGTCCAGGAAGCAGACACAAAGCAGCACTATGTGATCTTTTCCCCATGATGCCGATCACACTACAGAAACTCTGGGTCCTGTCTCCAAACGCTTTTATAAGGAATTAGCAAAACCTTCAAATTTTAATGCTGTAATGATCAGAGGGTCTTTTACTCTTTCAGTGAGCTCTTGAGCAGTAGACCACATGGAACCCTTAGGTCAGCATTTTTAAAAAAACCTTTGTTCTCCTTTTTAACTATACAAATGAAGTAAACTTTTTTTAAAGAAAAAGTCTTGAGTACAGAGTGAATAAGTCTGTCCAACAATCATTCTTCCTAGAAGAAACTTTTTTTTGATGTTTACCCCTAACCTTTCTAAGCACTTACAAAGGTATAGGTATATATAGAGAAAAATACTGAACAAAGAGTAGCCACTCTTCCCCACTGTTGTACCACTGTTCCCAGCCCAATACATTTGTGCGCTTATTTTTGAGGTACTAATTCCTACAGGTGGAATGGATAAGATAAAGACTATGTCCATTTTAAACTGTAATAGCCATGGTAACATTACGCTGTATTAAATAGTATATTATGATATACAATAATCAAGTTGAATAGGTATAGGAATAGAAGGATAGTTTGATTTAGACAGCCTGTTAATAAGTATACCATGTTAACTGCTCAAAGAAGAAAAACCCCATTCAATCACCTATCTCCTGAGATGATAAAAGTTTAATGCACACAAGTTAGTGCTTGATTTAAATCCTTAGGACAGAAGACCCTTAGTAGCACTTTTCAAAGTAAGAAAGTCTTTCTTCCAGGCCAGCCAGCTTCATGCTCAGTGATAAGCTGTTGGGAACATTTTCAGTGAGGGTAAGAAATAAGCAGAGAGGCCTGCTAGCATGTCAGAAGCACTAAGCCAGCTCAGAGACAAGAGACTGGAACAGAGGCATAAAGGGTGGCACAGTGGAAGTCACAGGGCACCATTGCCTCAGATATGGTACAGTAATGTTCCTGAAATGAAAATGTATTAAGATTAAGATGGTTCAATAAGGTGACTTTTATATTATAAATATTTATTGGATTCCTTCATGCTAGGAATTTTGAAGCACTGTAAATAATGTACTCTCTGTAGATTAGCATGTGATCTTCACCAAGCCTAAGAGATAAAAATTTATCTACATTGTATAAATGGGAAACTGAGGCTTTGAGTTCAGCAGTTTGACCAGTTATGTATCAAGAAAGTGGCTGGGGCTGGAAATATAGCTCAGTGGCACAGCGCCTGCCTGGCAAATGTGAGGTCCTGGTTTGATCCCCAGTACCAAAAAAGAAAGAAAGAAAGAAAGAAAGAAAGAAAGAAAGAAAGAAAGGAAGGAAGGAAGGAAGAAAGGAAGAAAGGAAGAAAGGAAGAAAGGAAGAAAGGAAGAAAGGAAGAAAGAAAAAGAAAGAAAAAGAAAGAAAAAGAAAGAAAAAGAAAGTGGCTAGGCAGGCACCTAGTGTGTGTACCTCTCATGCTGTGCTTGAGTCACACTTGCCCCCATATAGTTGTGTGGCCTTGAGAAGGTTGGTTTATGTCTGGGGCTGTAATTTCACCACCTCTGAACATGATGTAGCTGATGAGATGGTCCTAGAGACCTAAGGTTCTGCAACGCTAAGTATATGGGCCAGAAAAGTGGTATGTGCAGGAACCAGAAATGTCTGCTATCCTCCAGTACATGGGCACCCAGTGTTCGTGTGTGGTAGTGTCTTTCCTCTCCCCTTAGCTATTTGTCATATTCAGAGGTCAGCTTGGGTGATTAAAAGGGAAAATAGGGTTTCCCCCATTTATTTCCTTTTGTGTATTGAATATGTGACTAGCTCTCAGGATGACTCAACTAACAGGACTAGGGACAAATGCCTATAATTCGCCTTTGGTTTCAGGCCCCTTCTTGGAGGCTCAGGCAATCATCAGGGACATTCTCTCTGACTGCCCCTCTGCCTTGAGAGAGAGATGAGCCAGATGTACAGAACTGGGGAAGGGGCAGGTGAGCCAAGGCCTGGGAACCTGGAAGCAGCCAGTGTCCCCGGGGGAGCTTCTGAGCAGAGAATAACCATTTAAACATTTTTCTTCCTTCTCTGTTGACCCCATAGTAACCAGAAACCCTAACTGAAGCATACCAGGGCCTGCTTTTCTGTCCTCCTTTGAGGTTCCACTATGCTCATGAAGGCTTCTGTTTCCCTCTAGGTATGGAGAGAAAGGGAAAGCCATCCGAATCGAGAAGGTCATCTACACTGGGAAGGAAGGGAAGAGCTCCCGCGGGTGCCCCATTGCAAAGTGGGTGAGTATCATCTATAGGCCGCCTCACTCCACTTTCTTATAGGCCCTGTGTCTAGAGCCTGGGTTTTGTTTTCCAGCAAGGGTTCACTCCTGTATTTGCAGCTTGGATGCTCCCATCTCATGCGATGGGGGAGTACCTGTCCCCCTCCAACTTGCAGTGAAGGTAGAACTTTGTAGAAGAGCACCCCTTCCTCCTACTCCCACCCAACAACCAATACCTCAGTATCTTCAGCTAAAATCAGTGTGCCTGACAAATTCTAGACCTGACTGACCAGGACTTGGGGAAAAAGTCAAGGCACACCATGGGTATCCAAGGAGTATACTGCAAAAATAACCTGAGAACACAGTGGGCAAACCAAGAGAGCACTTGGGGAATGCCTGCTAGTAAGATGACCTGTGCAAAATATGGAAGATGCCAAACATGGGAAGGAGGGAGTGCCCAGGGAACATTCAGAGGTTCAGGGTGAACGCAGACGTGCACACTAAGGCTAGCAGAAACAAGCTTGATAGGTGCTCCTTGGGCCAAAGAGCAAAGGGTAAAAGTAGTAGAGGTCAGAAAGCAGGTATTTGAAGGTCCATCATGTCATAGTGTAGAGGAATCAGGAAACCTCGGGGGCTAAAATCAAACCCTTTAGGGGAGGGCAAGCTTTGCTTTCTGTGAGCTGTTGTACTGCCCATGGTTCATGCTCAGAGAATTCCTGCTCAGAGACTTTACAGTTCTCCCACAAGATTTGAACTGTCCATGTTACAGTGCTCAGAGGTTGGTGTGTTCGTGTCTCTCTCTGGCCTTTGATTTTACATTTTTGTGCACTCTACCCTGCTGGGCTCCTTCAGAGGAGTGTGACCATGGACCTGCTTTCTTCAAGTTTTGAGTGTATGCATAGACTCAGTTCAAAGGCCACAAGAAGCTATCTACTTGTGCCTGATGACATTTGTGCATTTGCTCCTCGGGAAGCCACAATGACATAGCCTCAGTTGTAGCTTTGGCTGGTTGGGTGTCCCATTGTATGCTCTGAACACATGACCTATGAATGCATTTAGTCAGCAAGTACCCCAGGCAGTGAGCAAAGGTTGACCATAGTGTCTTAAAATCTCTAGCCATCGGACCACTGTCTTACCGGTGTCCATGTGTTGATTCCCGTGACATGCTGAGCTCAGTCTGTGGGGAGCCAGACAATGACATGAAGTTATCATAGGATATATTACTTAATAACTTATTGATGTATTAATGATTTCCAAAATACAATTTTAAACATAATACAATCAATGCTTCAGTAAGGAGGCATCAGTATCACCTTGCCTCAAAGCAAGAACTCCCAGCCTGATCTGTGTTTCATTTCGTATGCAAACTATCCTTTAAAAGTTAGAAGGAAGTTCCCGAACATGCTCTGTGACATAGATGAACCTTAAGGACATTACACTTAGCAAAGTAAGCTGGTCACAAAAAGGACAAAGTTTATGATGTCAGAGGTACCCGGAGGAATTAAATGCATAGAGACAGAGAGTAGAATGGTATTTGCCACAGGCTATCAGGAGGGAAGAATGGAGAATTAGTTGTTTAATGAATAAAATTTCAGTTTTGCAAGGTGAAGAAGTTCTGGAGATGGTGATGGTTGCACAACAATGTGAATGTATCTAATAGCACTGAAGTGGACACTTACATGGTACATTTTATGCAGTATATATTTCACCACCACCACAACAAAAAATGAATGTGGTGCTCACATTTTAAAGGAGGAAATTTCATGTAAAATTCTGTATTTCTGTTTTTTTCCTGTAAAATTCCTGCCCTTTTGGATCAGTGAATATCTTCATTTTGCCATGGTCCACACCACTCCCTGGCCTGGCATCAGGCCCATTTCCTCCTCATTGGTGTTGCCTGCTTGTCTACCCCTTTTTACCACTGCTCCTGCCCAGGAATACTGGTAACCACATCTGTCTGCAGTGCCGGCATCTCCTGAGCTCCAGGCCCACTCTGCTGAGGCCTAGTAGAAATAACTGATCAGGTGTTGCAGGGTTGCCTGACACTAGGACGCTTCCAGGCCTCCATTCGACACCACCGCACCAGTCTGCTAAGCCTCAGAATGTGGAAGTCACTAAGACCTTCCCAGTCCCTCCGTCCCTGTAGGCAGGTGGTCCCAAAGTCACTTTTCTCCCAGATGTCTCTGGAATTCATTTTTGTTTTTCATTCTTTACCCACTGCCATAGTTTAGGACTTTATCCATGTTTACTTGCTCTTCGTCTTTCCAGCACATCCTCCTTTCCCAAGGCGTGAAACTGTTTGGTAAGACTGCTTACCTGCCTTCACAGATCCCTGCTTTGAAGCCTTGTCCTTCTCTCTGCCTCTCATCTCTCCTCCGTCTTTCTTCAGCCCGCCCCTGCTCTGCGCTCCCTCCTTGCATATGGCCGCAGTTTCTTGGGGTCCTTTGGGGACATTCAGCCACCTCACTCCCCAGCTCCCAGGACCCTTTGTCTGGATGCATCTTTTTGCTTGAGGAGGGAATTAGAACCTGAACAAGGGAAGGCCCAGGTCCTGAGCAGCAGAGCAGTGCCATGCCCAGAGCCATTTTTAAAAACTTCACTAACAATTTACAGACTTTATAGTTTTTTACTAATAATTTACAGACTTTATAGTTCAGTTACTTAAAGTGCACAATTCAATACTTGGGGGTATGTCATTTTTTAAAATTATGGTATACATGTGTGTATCATAATTGATATATATTTATATCAAAATTTGTTATTTTAACCATTTTAAGGGTCCAGATCAATAGTATTAAACATGTTCATATTGTCATCCAACCATCACTACAGTCGGATTCCAAAACTTTGTCGTTATCCCCAAGCGAAACATTCTACTCATTAACAGTAACTCCTTGTTTCCTCCTCCCTAGTCTCTCTCTGATAACCTCTAATCTGCTTTCTGTCCCTATGAATCTATTCTAGGCACTTCATATTTGTGGAATTATAAAATATTTGTCCTTTGTGTCTGACTTACTTCACTTAGCTTAATGCTTTCAGAGTTCATCTGTGTTTCATGTGTCAGAATTTTATTCCTTTTTATGGCCAAATAATTGTGTTGCACATACATACCATATTTTGTTTACCTACTCATCTGATAGACACTTGAGTCATTTCCACCTCTTGTGAATCACACTGGAAATGACATATGTGTGCAATTATCTGAGTTCCTGCACTTATTCTCTCGGGTACATTGCAAGTCATAGACTTGCTCGATCCTACAAAGGGTGCTCAAAATACATGGTAAATATTTAAATTTGTTTAAAAACTTCTTTACACTAAAAGACACATTGCCATTAGCCCCTGTAAAATATTCCCCCTCACTTTGAACACATTTATCTCATCATTCTTACCACCCCAGCAGTTCTGAAAGTCCTCTTTTCATATGATCAAGTACACAGGGAGTGCTGCTGCCAAGTGCCATCGGGCAGAAAGGCAAGCTCATAAAAACATTGTAATGTGAGCTGGGCATGGTGGCACACACCTGTTACCCAGCACTCTGGGAGGCTGAGGCAGGGGCATTGCAAATTCAGTCCTACCCTGGGTCACTTAGAGACTTAGTTAAGACCCTGTCTCAAAATTAAAAATGAAAAAAGGGGCGGATGGGGTTGTAACTCAATGCAGAGGCCCTAGGTTCAATCCCCAGGAGGGAAAAAACAGTGTGCTACCATCCACCTTATTTACAGGATCTGGCACTGTGGACTTGTGACTCTTCCTCAGTCAAAATGACCTTGAAATGTTAATGTTTTGGCTCAGCTCAGGACACTGAAGGAACCATGATAGCACAGCTAAAGACTGTCATGAAAGAGGACTTCTAGAACTGCTTCAGAAAGTGACAAGAATGATGGGATAAGTGTGTTTGAAGTGAAGGGGGAGTATTTTAAAGGCGATTAATGGCAATGTGTCTTTCACTGTAATAAATGATTTATTTATTTAGACACTCACCATAGCTTTCAGTCACACCTGGTATGTTTAACATAGTGAGGAACCCCTATGTTTAATTCTGTGTTTAACTTTCTGATGTCTTCCACAGTGCCGAGTCCCTTGCTTTTTTTAAACTAACAACATTTAGATATACCACATTTTCTTGGAAGATATTTTAGGACAACATAAAATCTCCAACTACATTTTGGCTTACAATTTTATCTGTGTATTTTTTTACCCCTAAACCTATGTGAGGCACCAATATCTTAGACTTCGTAGTAGTTGTTTTTTTAGTTTTGCTATTAAAATTTTTCTGTGTTTTTCACTTGTTAATTATAATGATCTCTTAACCCATGTGATTGCTGTCACCAGGGTGACACTTGTGGAACACTGCCCTAAAGACCTGCACTCCCAGGTCTGCGTAGCAGTGAAGGGTTGTGGCTCCAGCAGATAATGGTGCAACCCAATGTCCCTGCAGGTGATCCGCAGGCACACGCTAGAAGAGAAGCTGCTCTGCTTGGTGCGGCACCGGGCAGGCCACCACTGCCAGAACGCTGTGATTGTCATCCTCATCCTAGCCTGGGAGGGCATCCCCCGCAGCCTGGGAGACACCCTCTACCAAGAGCTCACTGATACCCTCCGGAAGTATGGGAACCCCACCAGCCGGAGATGCGGCCTCAATGATGAGTATGTGGTAGGGTACAGAGGATAGGGGCAGGGGAGGTGGGGTGAAGGTCCTCAGCAGGGCCCTGGGTGGCAGGTACTTAGAGTCTGGGTAATCCTGGGTAAGTTTTCCCTCCCTGGGCCATTTGACTGCAGAGTTGGGGTGGGAGCTGAGGAACGTGTACCCATAGGCCCTGGCCTGGGTGCCAGCTCTGGCTTAGAAAAGACTGTTGACTTGGCTTAGCTTCACTGTTAACCCCCCAGCCAATGCCGACACCCTAATAATATTGTTAACAAGTGTGGAAAAAGTGTTTGTGTGTGACAAACATAAGGCATTGATCTTTACAAAGCCTACCTTTATTGGTGTGTTTTCCCCTCTTTGGGCTAAAGTATATTTATTTTCAATGACATTTTATTTCAATATTTTATTTCAATTCATTCATCCTTTTAGTATATAGTTTGGAGAGTTTAGACAAAGTTTGCAGTCATGTAGCTGCCGCCACCACTGCAATGAAGATACAGAACACTTCCTCCATCACCCCCCAAAATTCCCTTTTGCCTTTTATCAGCACCTCTTTCCCCTACCCCTTGGCAACCACATCTCATTTCCTGTTCCTGTGGATTTGCCTTTGTGAAAATGTCACATAGTGGGATGATACTTTTGAGCCCGGCTTGTTGCACCAAGCATAATGTTTCTGAGGCTGATCTGTGCTGACGTGTGTCAGGAGTGCATTCCTTTTAATTGCTGAGTGATATTCCACTGTGTGGAAGCATCACATTTGTTTATCCATTCCCCAGTTGAGGAGAGTTTGGGTTGTTTCCAGATTTTATTAAGTGCTGAATTTTAATGTCAGTATGTGTTCATTTCAAGGCCTGCCAGTGTCTGGGCTATAGGAAGCAAGCATGTCTCAACCTTGAGACTCACACTATCCATTCCCTGTTTGGCGGTCTGCTTTGGAGCTAGTCAGAATATTAGAGTTAAGGCAAACTGTGACCTTCATGGGGATTTAGCTGATTCTTCCCTCTGTCTTAACCTGCATATTCCTCCCAAAAGCATACTCTGGTTAGACGTTTCCGTTCAGGGCTGTTGCAGAGCTAGCTTCTGGGAGCTGACTTTCTGCTCAAGGAAATTTGAGGAAGGATGGGGCAGGGAAGGATGAGCCCTAGTCACTGTGAAGCTGCCGGATGCCAAGCTCCAGCAAGGCCTCCCCTTGAGGGATGAAGAAGATTCCAGAACAGAGATAATGCATCTGTATACATAACCTGTCTTGTACATTTCAGCCGGACCTGCGCTTGCCAAGGCAAAGACCCTAACACCTGTGGTGCCTCCTTCTCCTTCGGCTGCTCTTGGAGCATGTACTTCAATGGCTGCAAATACGCTCGGAGTAAGACACCTCGCAAGTTCCGCCTCGCGGGGGACAATCCCAAGGAGGTGAGCAGAGCTGTGAGAGAGCAGAGACTCTCCCTCTCTCACCCTTTCCCTGCTCTGCCCCTTAACAGTCAAGTGGGGGTAGGACTGGCATGCCGCAACGCAGGTGTATAGAAAATGTAACCTGCTTGACTTGGGTTTTTTTAAAATGACCTTATCTTACTGTGAAACAAGCTGTGTGCAGGGACAGGAGGCATGAAAGTTAGACTTACCAGTTACAGGTAACTCAGACTGGAACAGTTGGAACAGCTGCTTTGAGGTGAATAGTTAAAATACATACTCAGATTCCTCATCAGAATTTGATCCTCTCAAAGCATCATTTCTTCTTCCCAATCACATCTCTTTGGGTGGCACAGGAACGGGCTTTAGTGTGTGAGCCACCCTTCAAGTCTTTACTGGACTTCCGAGACATCTCATGTCCTGCCTGTCTGCTGGACAGACACTTTGGTTGGTCATCGAGGTCCCACTGCCTCCATCCTGGGCACCTGGTCCTTGGGTTCTGGGTTGGCATCCACACAGTATAGCTGCTGGGTGTGAGGCCTCCTCCTCTCTGCAGTCTCCTCCCCGGGGCCCCACCCACAAGCCTCTCCCTCATCCCCAGGACCACAGGACAGGGCCTGCTGAGGGTATGGAAGCCATGAGTATCAGCTCAGGCTGCTTTGCCCTCTGTTTCTTCTCTGTGGCCCATGCCTCAGAGGCCATATCAAGAGGCAATCTGCACTCAGAATTCCAAAGGTAAAGAAGGTTTAGGGCCCTGGCCCTCTGGGCTCACATCATTGCATCTCCAGCCTCCCTGCTCCTGCCTCAGCTCCCGAGAGAGCACATACGGGGTCTTGTTGCTGGCTGCCATTGCTAGGATCTAAACAGCATCTTCATCCCATCTCAGCCTTCCAGCTCTCAAGCACTCAGTACTTGCAGAGCTTCCCTGATCCCTGTATGGCAGGGATGTCCATAGGCATCTCTTCTCTGCACCATAGCCTCTGTAAACGTCCATGCTCCCACCTCCAGACTTTCCTCTCCATAAATGAAAGGAAGCATTTGCAACTCTTTTATTCTGCACAACATCGCTTTTAGACTATTTTTTGGGCTTAAAATAGCTCCTTCAAATGCCCCTTAAACTGATACTTTCATTTAAGAATCTACCATCCCCCAGAGCAACAGATGCAGTTGTTTTTGGTGAATAGAGGAGCCCCAGGTCCACAAAGACCTAAGAATTACCAGGACTAGATACTGGTGTAATTTCCCACAAATTCTTCCCTCAGTCTGTCAGGCAGCGTTTCCTGTGCACTTACTATATCCTGGGTACTGTGGTGAGCTCCTCTCAAGAGGTCTGTTAACCTCGGGACTTCCCAGTGATGTGGGCACTGCTCCCTCAGTTCACAGGGAGGCCAGTGGCTTGAGTAAGGCCTTACGGCCAGTTCGTGCAGAAGGCCGAATTCAGTGCCGGACCTCCCAGGGTTTCCCCAGAGCTCCTTTTCATCTCTGCTCTGCTGGCTTGAGGTCCACTGTGCTGGTGGCCTCATCTGCACAGCCAGGAAGGTGGCTAGGCCCTGGCCACCCCACTGAAGGGACAGCTGAACCACTGCCCTTGATTTCCGTTTCTAATCCTATATACTTGGTTCTTTTTCTCTTCCCTCTTCTGCCTGCTTACATCTTCATGAGCTCTTTGTGCCTGTGCTCAAAGCCTCCCAGCAAGCCCTGCTTGCTACCGTGGAAGGCCAGAGAGAGGCTGTGTACACCTGACTCCTAATTGTGACTGGGTGGCTCTGCTTTGTCTAAAGTGGTACCATCCAGTGGAACTTCTTCTGATGATGGAAGTGTTCTCTGCTGTCCAGTGCAGGAGAAACATGGAGCTGCTACTGAGCATTGGAAGTGGGGCTGGGGCAAATGAGGGACTGACTGTAATTTCATTGAAGTTAGGCCCAGGACACATGAGTAAGTTCCTGCTTTCGGTGCAGAACACCTTCATACCTATTGTTCGTGGCTTTCTCATGCCTCCTGTACCACCCCCTGGACGTGTGTGATGACTGCTTCTCTCCACAGGAAGAGGTGCTCCGGAAGAGTTTCCAGGACCTGGCCACTGAAGTTGCTCCCCTGTATAAGCGGCTGGCCCCTCAGGCTTATCAGAACCAGGTATTAGGTTGGGGCCTGCCCACATGGCAGCCATTCTTCTGCCCAGGAGGGAGGTTAAGGCTCCCTGAAGTTGGGAAGTGGGAATGTGGACTCCTTTGTGCTCTTATAGAAGGAGCCCAGTTGAGAAGTAAAGCAAAGATGTAGTTCTTTGATATTCTTGGTTATATTGCACCCTACTCTGCCTCTCCAAAGCCCTGGTCTACAACTCCTCTGCCTACTAGTTATCTACCCTTTCTGGTCTGGTTTCTACTGCTAAGGCCTGAGCTCCTTCCACACCCTTGCACCTTCTGGGGGGTAATTGAGATAACCCCCTACAGAACCTGAAAGTAATTGTTTTGGGCCAGGTTAGTGGTGCATGCCTGTAATCTTAGCACTTGGGAGGCTGAGGCAGGAGGACCACCCCAAGTTCAAAGCCAGCCTGGGCTACATAGTGAGTTCAAAGCCAGCTTGGGCTATATAGCGAGACCCTGTCTCAAAAAAAAAAGAAAAGGAACTGATTTGGAGCTGGGGACTTATCCAGAAAACCTCCCTCCATAATATAAGTTAAAGGCTCCCTGGGCACAGAATCCGGGCCATTCACCTCAGGTCCTGTAAGCAGCTCTCTTTGGCGTTTACACAGGTGACCAATGAGGAAATAGCGATCGACTGCCGCCTGGGGCTGAAGGAAGGGAGGCCCTTCTCGGGGGTCACAGCCTGCATGGACTTCTGCGCCCACGCCCACAAGGACCAGCATAACCTCTATAATGGGTGCACTGTGGTAAGGAAGTTTGTGTCCTGCCCCAGCCCCAGCTGCATGGCGATCCTTAGAGAGAGCCTAGCTCTGTTCTGTGCAGAAAGAGGGCTCAGAATAGGGAGGGACATGGAGGCAAGATTTTCAGAACTCAGAGATACCCGGCCAGACTGCCTGCTCCCGCCCCTGCTCAGAGAAGCCCTCACTGGGACGAGTGTGCAGTGCTGGGCATGGGTGCTGTGTCTCAGGTAGATGCTGCATGACACGGCTCCATAGGTGCCTGGGTCCCTGGTTATCTATAAAATACGGTTCCAGGTCTCTGAGCTCCTGGATTTAAATCTAATCCCTAGTTCATTCATTGAATAAATGTATATTGAACACCGGCTTTGGTCTCAGGCACTGGCTAGGTGCTGGGGAAGAAAACGGACGAGGTCCTCACCCAGGCATGTGATACAACGGTAGCAATGAAGACCATAAGAGAGAAAAATGAAGTAAGCAAGGAATAGAGTGATAAGAGATGCTTGAACAGCCCATGTATGCTGGTGCCATTAACTTTGGAGTACAATAATAGGAAAAGACGAGAGAAAATCAAGCATTCTGTTTGGAGATGCCTGTTAGATGTACAGGGGGGATATGGAGCAGGCAGGGGAGAGGGAGGCTTTGGAGAGCATGGAGCTTACAGCTGAGAGCCTGGGTAGATCCCCGAGGGAGAGACTATAGATGGAGCAGACCAGAGGCTCGGGCTCAGAGGATGCAGCCAGTGTTCTACTCCGCTTTTCAGCTGGGCCCTGTGTAGGAAGGGCTTCTGGGAGCTGTGGAAGGAACGGGGGGCTCCTAGGCTGAGTGTAGCTCTTAACCCTGTGGGAAATGATGGTCCCATTTCAGGATTTCATATGTCCACCCCATCTTCTGTCTCTGTATGCAAGACTGAAAAGTGAGATGGGCCAGTTCCTGTCTACCCTAGCATGAGGATGCCTAGCTGAAATATAGAGGAAGGGCAGACCTTTCAGGGTTCAGAGACAGGCAGAGGAGGAGGAAGCACTGGATATAGGTGAGCAGAGCTTCTAGAATTTGAGGTAAACCAAAATAATACTTTTTTTTCAAAGTTAAAAGTATTTTTTCCTAGTAATCACTATGATTGTAAGACTTTTAAATAATATAAAAAATATTTGCCTGAAATCTCACAGAGATGACAGCTGTTAGCACTGGATGGCCATCTATTCAGATGTGTGTGTGTACACAGCTATATAAAAACTTACACCAGTGAGGTCACATTATATCTTCATGCTGTTCTACGGCTTGCTCTTCTTAACTCAGGGATATCTCAAGCCTTTTGTGTCAGTGGATATAGATTTATGCCCACATTTGCTGAGGCTGTATGAATAGCTCTGCCGTCACTTGTTTAACCAGTCCCCATAGCAGGCGGTAAGTACCTTCCGATGTTTCCCATCTATAAGCCTCAAGGAGGACTGTGCAGAGGTGTGGGCAGTCTGCTTGAGGTTCCAGGGCAAGGATGTTCACATCTGCAGGCTGAGAGCGCCTCTTCTGCTTACTGGCAGCACTGGGTTTTGTCAGTCTAGTCTTTTCCCACCTCACTGGCAGACATACAGTCTCATTTTAATTTGTGTCTCCTTTAAGCTCTAGAGGTTGAACATCTTTTCCTGTTTTCCTGGCACATTTTTATTTCATCTTTGTGAATCCCATTAATGTCCTTTGCTGCTTATTTTGAAAAGCAGGATTGCCTGTGTAAAGTATCTTCCCTGTGTTAGGGGTAGTAGCATAGTTTCTGTCACATCTCATCCTTTGTCTTTGCCCTTTGCCCTGTTGTTTATAACACTGGGTCTCTAGAGTGGGAGGAAGCAAGGCTGATGGCCAGACCCACCCAGAACAGACACAGAAGTCTGGTGTGGAGAGCTCTGTGCCTTAGGGAGAAACAGGCTGAGTGGAGCATGATCCAAAGCAGGAAGTCAAAATGAAAGGATCTGTAAAGTTGCCACCACAAAAATAAAGTCTCTTTTCAGTAACTAAAACAGCACAATCAAAATGTAAAGACCAGCCAGGCATGGTAGCATGTATCTCTAATCCTCTCACTCAGGAGGCTGAGGCAAGTTTGATGCCAGCCTGGACTACATAGTGAATTCAAAGCTAGCCTGAATTACATGGCGAGACCCTGTCTCCAAAAAAAACTGAAAAACAAACAACAAACAACAACAACAACAAAAGGCAGAAGGCATAAAACTCAAAAGGAGAAGAGTTGTGTTAAAATCTATCCAAGATTTGTTTTAATCAGGTGTTAAATCAAGATTTGTTTAATCAAGATTTGTTTTAATCAGATACAGAAATGACTCATCAAAGAAGTTTGTATTCACTGATAGGAAGCATGGCATGCCATGCAGGGGCCACACAGGGAGACCAGGGTCCATCAGAGGCACAGGGAGCCTGGGAAATGGGGGCTGGAGCCTGTATTGTGTGCCACAGGAAGGAATGAGCAAGGCGGCATAGGTACACTGAGTAAGTTTAGGACTGAATGGAATAGATCATTTCAGCTGGCTTTGGGGTATGGAAGTTCCAGGCACCTGGAGGCACCTGGCCCAAGGGTGATTTAGGGCATGGGAAATACTGGCTTGTTGTGTGAGCCAGGAGGCAGCTGGCTTCTATATTGTTGCGCTTGTGTATCAAGGCACATTCTCAGGGTCATTTGCTATCTCCAGGAATGAGCTAGTCTAGGAAGGCCTGTCTTTCCAGGAACAAGGCCCAAAAGCCAGAGCATCAAGAACATAGAAAATAAAGTAGAAGAAAGTAAACTTGACAAAAAACAGAAGGGAGCCTTGCTGAGAAATGTAAACTAACAATGCTGTACGTAAAGAAATGAATGGCAAAATTATTAACAAAAATATGGAGAAATTAAAACTCAATTTTTGGTATGAGTGAAAAACAGTCATTTTGGAGAGCAGTTCGGCAATATTTTATGTGGCAGGCCTGTTTCACAGCATTTATTCTAAGGAATGAAGTATCTTAAAAAATGTAGCTGGACAATTTCAGAAAGTATTGTTATGGTAGGGAAAAATTGGAAACAAGTTACAATATTTGATAATAAAATAATTAAGTAACACATTGATGAAGTAGAGTAATACTGTAGAGCTCTTTGAAATTATCAGGAAAGATGTGTAGTGCATAAAAAAGTACTTCAAGAAAAATGAAGTTATTCATACATAGTTTCCTGTGTAATTACCAAAAAATAATTGTGTACATTTGTGTACATAAATGACTTGAGTGTTCACGGTGTTTATTTCTGAGCAGTTGTTTTATGGAGATAGTTATTCCCTTTTTGCTTTCCTAAATTTTACACAACCAGAACATACTTTTTAATTTTAAAAAATTATTTTAAGAGCAGAAGGAGCTGAGTGTTCAGGACAAAGGGGATGAGGGTGGGAGTTCTGAAGCTGGGCTGGGTGATGTGCAGTGGCAGCAAGGCTGGAGAGGGGGGCGGTGGGCCTCCTGGTCGTGGCCCTGGCCCTTGTCAGCTATGTGACCTTATGCCAGTCATCTCATCCCCTCGCAGCTGCATCAGGGACATAGGCGATGGCAAGTAGACCTACTTTGAAAGCTGTAGCACACACTCTACCTGGTGGTGATGCTGGTACTCTGTGAGCCAAAGTGGATGAGCTTTTTAGACTCTGAGAAGCAGTTGCGGAAGGGAGGGTGTGTGGATGGCTGGCAGTGGGACCACTTGGGGAACAGGGCCACATTTTTTAACTCAAACCCCTGCCTCCCAGTGCTTGGTCCCCAGCCCCATGTCTTCTCTCCCCTCTGTGTGAGGCAGGTGTGCACCCTGACCAAGGAAGACAATCGCTGTGTGGGCCAGATTCCCGAGGATGAGCAGCTGCATGTGCTCCCCCTGTACAAGATGGCCAGCACGGATGAGTTCGGCAGCGAGGAGAACCAGAACGCCAAGGTGAGCAGTGGGGCCATCCAGGTGCTCACCGCCTTCCCTCGAGAGGTCCGGCGCCTGCCTGAACCTGCCAAGTCCTGCCGCCAGCGACAGCTGGAAGCCAGGAGGGCAGCAGCCGAGAAGAAGAAGATGATTCAGAAGGAGAAGCTGAGCACCCCTGAGAAGATCAAGCAGGAGGCCCTGGAGCTGGCTGGGGTCCCCACTGACCCAGGTGTGTGGAGAGGGCACCACCAGGGCTGGCATGGGCCCCGTCCTTCAGGGACTCCCCTCACTGAGCCCCACCTCCCACTTTCCTGCATCATGCTGAAAGTTCGAGACAGAGTCCTTGGGCCTTGGCTTAACTGTGTCCTATAGTAAGATACCTGACAGGAGGCATCAGGGTGGGAAGTAAGTACAGAGAATGCGTTGTCTTCAGGGAGCTCTGCTTGGTAGAAGAGGAGGCTTGGGATCTCCTGTAGGGTGTTCATGCACCCTGCGGGTCCACAGGGAACATCAGCCTGGGGCTGGGGCTGGGTTGTAGGCACCTGTGTTATCACTTCTGCTGGCCTTGGTGCCTGCAGTAATGCTGATGCAGCATGCAAGGTGTGGTGGTGCTTCAGGGAAAACTTCGGGCACTGATTAGTGTACCATGAGGAGTGGTGTACACAGGGCCATGGACTTGGAGCAAGCTGCCTCCTTCCACCTGAAGTACAGCATGGGTCTGTACTTACGGGTGGCCTAGGAGTTGAGTTGGGGTCCCTGCTTGGGCATATCCCACCTGTCTTACTTTTCCAGAAAAAGGAGGCATCTTAGGGAATGAGAGAAGTTCTGTCCCCAGTTTGCCCTAGACCTTGTCAGGCTGTGATGCTGTGGGCTGCTTTTCCACCCTGCCTTCTGCTTCCCCAGGCCTGTCCCTGAAAGGTGCATTGTCCCAGCCAAGCCTGAAGCCTTCCCTCAAGCTGGAGCCGCAGAACCACTTCAGCTCCTTCAAGTACAGTGGCAACACAGTGGTGGAGAGCTACTCGGTGCTGGGCAATTGCCGGCCCTCTGACCCCTACAGCATGAACAGTGTCTACTCCTACCACTCCTACTATGCACAGCCCAGCCTGACCTCCGTCAACGGGTTCCACTCCAAGTATGCTCTTCCGTCGTTTGGCTATTATGGCTTTCCATCCAGCAACCCCGTCTTCCCCTCACAATTCCTGGGTCCTGGTGCCTGGGGGCACAGTGGCAGCAGTGGAAGTTTCGAGAAGAAGCCAGACCTCCATGCTCTGCACAACAGCCTGAGCCCGGCCTACAGTGGTGCTGAGTTTGCTGAGCTGCCTGGCCAGGCTGTTTCCACGGACACCCACCACCCCACTCCTCACCACCAGCAGCCTGCTTACCCAGGCCCCAAGGAGTATCTGATTCCCAAGGCCCCCCAGCTCCACCCAGTGTCCAGGGACCCCTCTCCCTTTGCTCAGAGCTCCAACTGCTACAATAGATCCATCAAGCAAGAGCCAGTAGACCCATTGGTCCAGACCGAAGCTATACCCAGAGACCCTGGTAAGATGGGCAAAATACCTTTGCCCGAAGCATCTCAGAATGGGGGACCCAATCACCTATGGGGACAGTACTCAGGAGGCCCAAGCATGTCCCCGAAGAGGACTAACAGTATGGGTGGCAGCTGGGGTGTGTTCCCTCCTGGGGAGAGCCCTGCCATTGTCCCTGACAAGCTCAGTTCTTTTGGGACCAGCTGCCTAACCCCTTCTCACTTCCCAGACGGCCAGTGGGGACTGTTTGCTGGTGAGGGGCAGCAGCTGGCTGCCCACCCCGGAGGACGGCTGCGAGGCAAATCATGGAGCCCCTGCAAGTTTGGGAACAGCACCTCGACCTTGGCTGGGCCCAGCCTGACTGAAAAGCCCTGGGGGGTAGGGGCAGGGGATTTCAACTCTGCCCTGAAAGGCAGTCCTGGATTCCAAGACAAGCTGTGGAATCCAGTGAAAGGGGAGGAGGGAAGAATTCCCACCCCTGGGGCAAGCCATCTGGACAAGGCCTGGCAGGCCTTTGGGGTGCCCCTGGGCTCCAGTGAGAAGCTCTTCGGTGTCCTGAAGTCTGAAGAGAAGCTGTGGGATCCCTTCAGCCTGGAGGAGGGGACAACTGAGGAGGCCCCCACCAAGGGGGCAGTGAAAGAGGAGAAGGCCAGTGCGGAGGAGGAGGAGGAGGAACTGTGGTCGGACAGCGAACACAACTTCCTGGACGAGAACATCGGCGGCGTCGCCGTGGCCCCTGCTCACGGATCCATCCTCATTGAGTGTGCCCGGCGGGAGCTACATGCCACCACACCACTCAAGAAGCCCAATCGCTGCCACCCCACCCGCATCTCGCTGGTCTTCTACCAGCACAAGAACCTCAACCAGCCCAACCACGGGCTGGCCCTCTGGGAAGCCAAGATGAAGCAGCTGGCGGAGCGGGCACGGGCACGGCAGGAGGAGGCCGCACGGCTGGGCTTGGGACAACAGGAGGCCAAGCTCTATGGGAAGAAGCGCAAGTGGGGGGGCGCCATGGTCCCCGAGCCCCAGCACAAGGAGAAAAAGGGGATCGTCCCCACCCGGCAGGCACTGGCCGTGCCCACAGACTCAGCGGTCACCGTGTCCTCTTACGCCTACACGAAGGTCACTGGCCCCTACAGCCGCTGGATCTAGGTGCCAGGGAGCCAGCGTACCTCAGCGTCGGGCCCAGCCCGAGCTGCCTCTGTGGTGCTTTTGCCCTCACACCTGGGGGCGGGTTGGGGGTGCAGAAGTCTTTCTATCTATATATACATATATGGATATGCCTATCATATATATGTATTTATGGTCCAAACCTCAGAACTGACCCGCCTCTTCCTTCCCCCCACGTCCCCAGCACTTTGAAGAAGAAACTACGGCTGTCGGGTGATTTTTTCCGTGATCTTAATATTTATATCTCCACGTTGTTTTATTTTTCCCCTTGTTGGAGGGGCTTTTATTTTCTTTGTTTTTAAAACTCTATCCTTGTATATCACAATAATGGAAAGAAAGTTTATAGTGTCCTTTCACAAAGGAGTAGTTTTAAATTCCATTTAAAATGTGTATTTATTGGATTTTTTAAAAGCGACAATAGTAATGGTAACGGATGGGCAGGAAAGGCCAGCAGTACTGTTCCCACCGGCACGTCCGGCCTCTTGGGAGCTGACAGGTTCTCTCGGCCATCTGCCCAGGTGAGCCAAGTGCAGTGTGTAGCCCCAGTCTATCCCTCCCTCCCCGTGGGCAGGGAGCCGCCAGACCAGCTGCTGTCCTCTCCCGGAGGATGGGAGAAGCTGCAGACAACCGTCTGGGGCCCCCTCCCAGTCAGCAGTTGGGCAGAGGCACCCCAGGCCCAGCCCAGGATATGCTGGCATGGGTCTCCCCAGAAACCAGGTTGAAGGTAGACAGCTTCAAGCTTGCCAGTCTCCACACTGAGTCCTCTCTGTCCGTTATTTATCAAGTCCACAGGATGTCATGGTTCGCTAGGCAGCAGCACCTCATGCTGAAGCTGGAGTTGAAAGGCTCCTAGAGCCCTCTCCGCCATGTCAATAAGGCAATGAATACTGGGCCGAAGGAATTTGTCTTAGTGGCAATTTTTAAAAAATCGCCCCAAAGTCTATGCTGATACCGAAAAAGGGCTACTGTATCTCTTAACACAGAAGTTGAACCCAAGCTGTGAAGAGCCAAGCTGGCTCTGTGCGTGGAGTTGTACAGAGCCTGGTGCTGTAGTGTTGTGCTGGGACTTTGACTCTTGGGCAGGTTGCATCCTGCAGGAGCTCAGCAAACCAGTGTAACAGCAGTTAACACATCTGTCCTTTCCTGGATCTCCACATTGGACAATGGTGCATGCCTCCCGGCCCACCCCTCCTGCTGTCTGCAGGGGCAGGGCCTACACTTAAAGTGCAAGAGTCAAACATTTTCAACAGGTTGCTATGATTTTCCTCCCTCATTGGTGCCAGTTCTCCATTGGATCATTTTCTTTTTTTCTTCCTTCTCTTTCCATCCCCTGTAACACACCCATTCTAAAATTCTGGTGCATTCGTTTAGTTCTTTGAAAAGAGAATGTGGTGCTTAATTTTTGTGACATTGTTGAGAGAGGTTGGGGCAGACAGTTGGAAGCAACACTCATCTACAGCCAGTCAGACTTCTTGGAGTACTTGTTTTTCCTGTGGTATTGGTGGAAATGATCTCAAGCTACCCATGTGGACGTGTGTGGTGAATGGGGGCTTCATCTGGACACACGGGGTGTGGCTACACAGTGTGTGACGGCCAAGCAGGTATTTATTAAGCAGTTTTATTCAGATTAGGGTCTTCATGAATTGAGTTTAACAATCAGATGACAGTACTAACGGCAAGCTCCTGAGCCTCCAGGTGCCTTGTGTAAGAGCTGAGACCGATCCGCTGGGTGTTTACTGTAACCTTTCGGAAGCACTGGCGGAGAGTCGCTGTAAGATGTCCTGAACATTTATGTGGTCTGGTTTTAACTGTAAATAGTGAAAAGATTTTTTTAAGCACTTTTGCCTAGATTTAAACAGCAACTTGAAAAAAAAAAGTACGTTTTAACATGTAATTGTGGGAGAAACTGTAAATAGTAGCTGAATATTTAACGTGCTTTGTCTATCCTCCACTTTTACCATATTCTGTAAAGTTGCATTTATTTTACAGGACAAAAATGAAATATTATTGCTTTTGAAATAAATACCCAAGAGCTTATCAGGATTTAGAATCTATTCAGAACTCAGATTTATAGGAAAACCTCTGACCTTCAGTCTGACAAGCTAAAGGAAGCAGAGTCTTTAATGAGCATGCTAATTTTCTAGTTTTGAGGAAAAGTTGGGTCCTTTAAATGCTATTTTGCTTATCGCATCAGTACTTTTATGCAGGTCTCATTTGACTCCGTGCTTAGGTAGATGCGGGGGTGCCTTGAAAACTTCATTTTAAATGATCTTAAGCAAGAAATACGATATTTTACAAAACGTGGAGAATGTGACCGTCTGTGTGACCCATGGAAGCCCCAGGTTGGCTGTTGGTTTGGAAGGTCCCGAGTGTAACCTAGATGATTCTGACACTTGGCATGTGTGGATCTCTGATGTTTGTTAACTATGCTCTTCCCCTTGTCACCCTTTGGTAGCAAAGCCATTAGATGAAAGGAGAAACCAATACAAGTTACTAGCATGTGATGTCTGTCCCCAGCCCACACAGCCTTGGGTCGTTAGCTTCAGGGCTGGAACCAGGCTGCTGAGAGGCGAGTCAAGAGGCGGGCGCGTGGGGTGCACCCACGCCCCTCTGAGCAGGGTCCCGAGAGTTAGCTGGTGCTGTTGCCGTGCTCAAACCCATGCTGATTTTTACACACTACATGTATAACCTACCTCAAATCTCAGTCATTGAAATTAGCATGCTTTAGACGTATATTTAAAAAGTAACTATGCACAGCTCTTTATCCCCCCTTTGCTGCTCAAGGCTTCTTAAAGAAAAAAATCAAATTTTTATTTTTTACTGGCATTATCATTTTTTAAGTACTAAAGATGGTTGACAAACATTTTTATCACGAGAAGAAAAATAAAGCCATTGCAACTAAAGAACCTAACAGCATGACCAAGTTTTAAGAGTAACATAGCAACAGAAAATGATGGAGTCTTGTAGTCATCTCCCCGTGTGCCCGTCCACAGACACCATCCACATGGAGTGCAAATGTTTGGTTCCTTTCTTTTGCTTTGTTTTGTTTCCCCTACCTCTTGCGTGTAAGGGAAGTACTTGCAAAGTTCTGTGCTAAGAGATTGTTGGATTTTTTTTTTTAAAGTAAAGATCACTTTGCAGCAAGGTCTCACCCAATAACTGGTGCTAGCTCAAGAAACCATCATCTTACCATCGGAAAGCTTGACTAACAGTGTTGCATAGATTTGGGAGGTTTTGTTTGGGGTCTGGTTTTTAGCAAGGCCTCAGTTCCCCACACCTGGCTTCCTGGGTGCTGCTTTGCCTTCTCCCCGATATGGACAGTGGTGTGCATGGAAAGGTTTCCTACCTGCCTCTTCTGATCCTTCCCTTGCCTCTTTTGGAAATAGTAGTTTGCAGAGCAGGGATTTTTAAAGCACTCTCGCAAGGAAAGAAGTCACAAGCTTAATTGCTTTGTATCAGACAGCAGTAGATGAGTGAGGATGGTTGACAGTGAGTAGATGGTGATCTGATTTCTCTGGCAGAAACCCATCCAGACTTGCATCTTGACATTTAACCACCCTGTGATCCCAACCCAAGGCAAAGCTGGTGGAAAACTCTGATATATCCCTGATGTGCCTCAACCAATATCTCTTTCCTTTTGTTACTGAAGTGTGTTCTATGGACTAGGAAGCATTTTTATGAGTTGAAATAGTCTAAATAAAATGGTGCTATGGTGTTTTAATGTGACTGTCCCTGATCCTGTCTCGCTGAGGTGCTATCAACGTTCTGAAACCACAACCAACCAAAAACAAGGTGGGCTCCAGTCTCTCGGCTTTTTTTGTTCCTCCTCGTTTGGTGCTGTCTTCTTAGACCTCTGTTTACCATGCTATAATCTGCTCTGAGCAGTTTTAGTTTTGTTTTATTGTTCTTCCCTTGGTGGCCAAACAAAGAAAGGCAAGTCAAGAAGGCGAGGCCCCTTGCTGAGGGGCCGGCCTCGCTTGGCGGGTGCTTTGGTTTCACGCCTGTCTTCTCAGGCCCAACGGGAAGGCAAAGACATGCAGTGATTTCTCTGAGGAAGGGAGTCGGGGGCTCCTGCCTTGTATAGCACAGCGTGTGTCTTAGCCAGAGCTGCGCATCCTTCTCCTGCGGCCCAGGTGCTGAGCAGATGTCTGTCCCTGGGAGTCTCAATGGGGGCCCATGGAGTGGGTGCACAGGGAGCTGTTTCCTCACCTGGCAGGGCTCGGGACCGTGGTGGGCGAGGAGTTCATTCCTGTGCTCCTTCCAGCCTTGGCCCCAGTGTGGCTTCTCCTGCTTGTCCGTCCCTCGTGTTCGGACGAAAGGCAGGAGCTTTCTTTGTCCCTTGATGTCACTGAGGCTGCTTTTAGTTGGTGCTAAATTTCTCCGTGGGTCCACAGAAGTTGATGTTTTTAAGAACTCAATAGGAAGCTCCATTTTTGCATCATCCACTGTCACAATTTTTTTTTTTAAATACCTCAAAAACGGGACATTGTGACAACTTAGTAGATTCCATGAAGGTCTAATACCTGCAGGTTATCTGTTTGATGACATAGCTGACCTTGAAGATCTGGAGTCATTTTGGTTTTGATTCTTAGTGAAAATGGCAGAAGGCATAAAGGAAGGAATGTGGCTGACTCTGTTTCCTTTTTAAGTTCTGCTTTCGAATAAAATGTGAATTTCCTATGCCCATCTCACTGAGCTTTCTCAGTCATCGTTGCTGTCATTTGCAGTGACTCCCTCAAGATCTAGTCTATTAGCCAGCGCATCTGCTGTAATTCATGGCCGACTTCAACATGTCCTGGACCAAAATAACATTTTTGAGGTGCACACCTCAGCATAGGTTCTACAGCCCCACACCTGCACATGCATAGCTTTCTCCACGAGTGCGGGCCCGCCTGGCACGCCCAGCACTTCCTCCCACAGAGCTGCCAGCAAGAGCAAAGCAATAGGCTTCTCCCCTGAGCAGAGACCTCAGTGCAGAAATGCCAGGTCTAAAGTTGATTTTTGCCTAAGAATCAGCAAGCTATTTGGCCTACTTCCTCATTTGCTTCTACTCTGATATCAGGGATGCTTTTTGTAGTGGTATTGTTTGTGCTCTCCTCATTTTGACTAACCTGTCATTCAGGGGAAACTCATCACTCTTCACATGGGGACTTAAAATATGAATTGGCTCATTTGAACATTCCAAATTGTCTTAGTTCAATACCTTTTCATTCTTTTTTTTTGAGGGGAAAAGAGGAGAAAAACAGGAGTGATGTCATTTCTTTTTCATGTATTTAATTAGAGAAACAAGGACTGGTTGTCTTGTGGCATATTAATGCATTAGACTTAATCTAGAACCCCTGTAGCTTTCTGGTGTGTTTTATTTCTTATCTCTTTGAATTCCTGTTTGGTTACTTGGCTTCCAATGGAGGTGAATTTAACAACCATACTTGAATATTCCGTCTTGACTTTGTAAACTGTGGCTACTTGAAATGAAGTTTATCTGGGGTTGATGGATGAATGATAGATTTTTGCAATGTCTCAAGGCAATAGGATGTGTATTAAACTGTAGATATTCTTAGTACAGTAAATTTATGCTGATAATTTTATTTTGTATAATTTTTATCTTTTTGTTAATATTTTTTCTTCCACTTTATTGGTTTGCCTCCTGAGCTACCCCTCCTTACCCTCCCTTTTCCCCCAGTGTTTCAGTAAATTTAATTTAGGGTGCCTAGAAATTGCAAGTATGTATCCTTTTTTGATTTGTATTTTATTATAATTTACACAAACAACTGGGTTTGTGAACTGTATTACTCCTGGTATCTTTAAAATATTGTGGGTGTTTTAATAAATTTTATATTTATTTTTTGCACTCAAATTCAGTGTGGGTTCTTTTTCCCCCTTGAACCGGAATTAAATTGACATTTGAGGTACCCTGCAGTGTCACACTTCCATCACGTACAGATGCGCAGATGAAGTTAACAGCAGCGGCAGAGCCTTTCCTGGCCCACTCCGCCACCTGGACAAAGTGACTCTCAGAGTCTCTGCCATTAACTCTGGGGTGAGGGAGGGAAGCAGAGGGCCTTTCTCCTCTTGTCTTCTTTCCCCTTTTGTCGCCCTTTCTCATTCAACCTGGGGGTGCTGTTTCCCTGTTAGAATGTTTACTTTCTGATGTTATCATTGAAGGATGACTGAGTCCTGCCCAGTTCTGGTAGGTCGGACATGGACCTAGCAGGAAGATGCAAAGGAGGAACCCTCGCTTCTGCTGTCCCAGTTCCCAGAGGCCCCATGCCTGAACTCTTGTCTTCAATTCAGATCGCCGATTCTGGTGGTGGCTGTTCCTCAAAAGAGAACTCTGCATTGAGGAAAGAGACAGGCAAGGTGTCACTCAGGGGTAGCGCACGTGCCTAGCACGTGCAAGGTCCTTGGTTCAGGCCCGGTACTAGGGAATGAGGGTGCACAGTGCATTGGGGAAGAAGAGGGGTAAATGGAGAGAAGCTGTCCTTTCCCCTTCCTCCTGCTTGAAATAGCCCACTGAAGTCAATCCAGGATGTGAAACAAGCAGCCCCACTGCCCATAAAGCCCCTGCAGCATCCAGCATCCCTCCGGGTCTCTAGACACAGGAAAGCTCGTCTCGGCATGTGTGAGTGGGCCCCGCAGTCGGGACAGTTCGCCTTGGTGCTCACAGCAATCCAGCAACCCTCGTGCACGTCTGTATGTTTTCCTAAAGTAGGATCACACTGTTGTGTACCTTCTGCTTGCCTTTTTGAGTTGAGAGACCAAATTCTGCCCACTTCTTGCAGCCCTGTCACGTTAGCCCAGGGTAGGAGGAGGTGGGGGGCAGGAGAGTCCTGCTTCAGCACAGGCTGATTTCACCTCTGGATGTCTGTAAATAGGCCTCCATCTCTTACACCAAGTTCATGGTAATAGAAATTTGAAGACAAGGTTTTAAAAACTACCTGCAGTCCCATATGAGAGAACCACTGGTTGCAAACATTTTCTGAATGGGTAAGCATGACCATTGTATTCTATTTAAAACTTATGTATATACGTGAGTTTTAAATAGAATACAATATGTTGACATTTTTTCACTTAATATATCTAAATATCAGTGATACAGAGCCGCATCTTTGTTAATAGTTGCCAAGTATTTCATTGTATGGATGCAGAAGCATTTGATCATCTCTATATTAGCAAGCTCTTTAAGATCCCTACTTGAAATTACAAAATGAATTCATTCAAATCTGCTTCCTTGTAAGCCCCCCCAACCCACACAGCATTTCTATAAGCATCACAGCACGCCCCCCCACCACATGCCCGCACGCTTGACTCCCATACCCTCCTAGCAGAAGTCACAGGTCCTGTCCACTGTGCCCCCAGCTGGCCACACCTAGAGCATCATTCTTCATATTGGGCTCACCAGTCAGGACCACCTTGTGGCAGATGGAATCTGGCTGATTCAAACCAAGCACAGAAACAGCAAGAAGCCCCCCAATCTGGAAATGGCATGTGTGTAAATGCACACCAAAGTGCATTAGGTTTTTAAACAACTAAGCCATAGTGAGAGCTCTGGAAAGAACACGGCCCTCTCATTCCCCAGTTGCACGGTGTAAGCTGAGCAGTTCCATCTCCATGTCATCATCTCTGTCTATAAAAAGGGCTGATGCTGCCACATAAGACTGAGATAAGGATCGAAAAAAAAAAAGAATACTACAGAACGAAGACTGCCGAGCATTCTGGACATGGAAGGTAATAAGAGTCATGATGCCTTTTGAGGTACTCAAAGATTCTGGTCACCGAGGAGACCAGGGACCAAGGCTAGTCTCAGACCACATGGTGACCATATATGTGAGCCACTGCAACCAGTTCCCCCTGCTGGTCGTTGTACCGCCCCTTACGCATTTCACACATCACTTGAAGTTTAGCCTCTGTGTGTGTATGGTGCTGGGGACCAAAAGTAGGGGTGCTCTGCCATTTAGCTGTATCCCTAATCTTTTTTATTTTACTTGGAGACAGAATCTTACTAATTTTCCCAGCCTGTCCTTGAACTTGCAATCCTCCTGCCTCTGCCTCCTGGATAGCTGGAATTACAGATGTGCGCCATCACACCTGGCAGGCTTAGCCATCTTAAATGGACAGTTTAGTTCATCCTCCCTGCCATTTCAAGTCTTCACCCTGTCCCCGTCCCACTGCACAGCTTGATCAATACCTTATAAAGTGTTTACCAATATCCTGTGGGTTCCTGATCTTGGAGAATCATTAGTCATGTTTGTGCCTTACCATGCAAGTAACAGGCATTTGCCATCCTAGGGGAGGAAAGAGCCCCTGACAATATGTTCAACCCGTGTAACCCAGTGCATGGTCCTGTGAGAGCCACAAGGACACCAGAGAAGACATGAAAGGCAGATCTTTGTCAAATTCCAGATCTCTCCAACCCCGTCCCAGGCCACTCCAGAGGTCTTGGAAGATGGCTCATTCTTTCCTGCGGAGAAGCCCCACCCCAGCCCAGGGCCCTTGCCTAACTCTGGAGCTCCACAGCAAGCAGCCTCCCGTGTGCTCACCCTCTTCCCTGCACACACACTAATCCTGGCCCTGCATCCCCACCCGCATACTCTTTTGTTTTTTGGTTTGTTTTTTGTTTTTTTTCTGGTACCGGGAATCGAACTCACGACCTCATGCTTGCCGGGCAGGCGCTGTGCCGCTGAGCTAAATCCCCAGCCCCTCCCACCCGCATACTCTTGATTGGCATCCCTTGCTGCTCCTCAGGGACACGCTGGCCCAAATACCCGCTTTCTGCAGCGGCTCCTGGCCACACTCTGCTGTCCCTCAGGCTCATGCCATCCCACACTGTCCAATCACCACCACATTCTGCGGGTGTAGACCTCTTAGCTTCAACTTGCTCACCTCATACTGGCCATGGGGGAGCTGTCTTCCAGACCCCGGAGGCTGGTCCTCACTGATCTCTCTGAAGAGCACATGGCCTAGTGTCTCCCACCTCCTGAAAACCCTGTGCTCCTGGGCTCCATGGCTGGGAACATTCTATTGTCCTTGGACCCTGAGGTCTTCTCCTGCCCCCTTCTCGGGTCTTTTTGTGCCCTCTTGTCCCTTAAATACTAAGGCCAAGAGAACCAACTCAATCCCACACCATGGGGCTTTCCCTGCGTGGCCGCGCTCACCCTTCAGGCCTTGGCCCAGTGCCAAGGATTTCCAAAGCCATGTCTAGCTCTGGCCTCCCGGTGACCTGAGGTTGCTGAGTAGTTCTAGGCGTCTCTTTTAGAGACCCAAAGCTTCAAATATAGCACAACTAAAACTGACCTTTCAACTCTATCAAATTTCCCACCTTTCTCCTGGTCACATTCTGACATCCACCAAATCTGCTCCCCCGGTATCCTCTACCTGCCCCACCTTGTCACTATTATTAGCAGCCCACGCTGTACAGATGTGCAGGGTGTTTACAGCTTTGGGGGAAACCATTCCTACAGGGTACCATAGGAGCCTCGATCTCTGACAGGCTCCTCCCCTGTGGGCGGGGCATGCTGGAGGAGACCACAGCGAAGCCTCTAACACTGGGGCCCGACACGGAAGCTTCTCATACTCTGATCAAAAAGTAAGACCTTTGAAAAAGATTAAATGGGGCCAGGGATATAGCTCAGCAGCACAGTGCCTGCCTGGCAAGTGCAAAGTCATGAGTTTGATTCCCGGTACCAAAAAAAAAAAAAAAAAGAAAAAATGACTTGCTCAAAACCATCTAACCGGCAAGCAGCATAGCCCCCACTTAAACCCCCGTTCATCTGATGCCAAAGTCTGTATCCTGTCCAAACACATCCATTTCTTCTGCACCTTAAGGCCCAATACCAAATGGGCACTGTCCTTGCTGGTGGGAGTCTACGCACAAGCCCAGGGGAGGTGACACAGATCTACGGGCATAAGGTGGCTCTGCGGGAGGATGGGGGCTCATTAGGGCCTTTTCAACAGGTACTGATGTCTGACTTGGTTTTATCAAAGCCAATCTCCTTACCCAAACCATCTTTCTAAAAACCAGACTGAATGACACTATTTCCCTGCAATATTGCTTCATGTCCCCACCCCCAATTTGATACAGCTTTCAGGCTATGGGACACAGCTTGACTTTGCCCCAGCTCCTGGCCCCAGCTCCTATCTCAAGTACCTTGCAGGCCACTCAGTGCCACTGAGTGTGGAATTGTTTCCTTCGTGGCCTCCGGGCTGACCATAGTGCCAGCCTCCAAAAACTCATTCCTTTCAATTCCATTAAAATGTTTACATAAGCTATAAAACTACTCCAAATAAGAACCAAAAAGATCAAGACTCTACTCAAAGAAGTATAACAGGGAACCAAATTATCTAAAACCATATAAGATACTTTGTATGGCCAAAAAACATAAAGCATTCAAAAACTAGCAACCAAGCATTTGCAAGAAATATGAAGGTTAGATAGCCCCTGCAACACACTTTTTAAAGAGTCAAAAGGACATCTCACCTGCTCAACCAAAGCAAGATTACTAGACAGCATAGCAAGAAGTATCCGCTGAGTTAAAAAGCACAGGTGATGCGACAATAGAAAAACAAAGTAGAGTGTTGGAAACAGTTGTAGAACATGAAAGAGTATAGTGTGAAGGGCTGAGTGTGTGACTCACGGGCAGAGCACTTGCTTAGCAGATTTGAGGCCCTGGGTTTGCTTCCCAGCACCACAAACACATGTACAAGCTGCGAATTGAGAAATGCCTCTTGAGGGTCCTGGGAGCTCCCAGTAAGGACACCAAATGGTTCAGAATGCGGAAGCTCCAGTGGCGTAATCAGTTAGCACGCGGTACTTATGTAACAGAATTCAGTAACTGAAGGCCCCTAGGAAGA